CCAACGACCACCATCTACGATACCTGAGCTACCAACATTTTCCTCTATAGAAAGTGTAGGCTTTATTTGAACAAATGTCATTGTGGTTGAAACGTGTGTGTGTGTCACGATACAATTTACCAATTATCGTCGACATTCGTCTAATCCCATGTCACAAAGAAACCATTCATATAACTAATCGTTCATACGATGCATTTAGTTGGAATACATGAAGATGATCAACTCTGTTTTATTGATTTTCCCCGTACTTTTTTTCGTACTTTCTCTTATCACAATTTGTTCGGTCACGACCTCAAAATGAAACCAATAGACCGCTGTGCTTACGAAAATGTAACTGCACACGATTGGACATTCTATAACTTGGTCGTACACAGATTCGTAGGCTAAAATTATCCGTTTGATACGGAGAAATTCCTTTAAACTGTCTATTGTGGGATAGTTGAAAATGGCCGCTCAAGGTTAGTGGAATACATTATGGTCCCGACGCTTTTCCAGAGATTTCACTATGTCCATCTAACAATGAGTCTTACTTTTTAGATTTTCTGCACGTAACATTGTATTGGGTAATGTGGGGAATGATATTTCTCTACCGGTATTTTCTGGTAAGAAAAGTTTCGTCCTACGAACGTTATGGGGCGGAGCTTGACAGGACTGAAGGTAATTGGTCACTGTAGGCGTCTGGTCCCCATGGGGTGGTCTTACTGTATGATGGGAATAATTTCATTCCTTCAATAGACCTCCACTGTAATTATGCTCTAGCTTTCGAACGAACAGTTTCAGAGAAAGAGTATTCATACTTTCATCATCAACACTGTCTTCGATAACACATTAGTTCATGATTAGTGGCCGCCGGAATAACTCCGTCCGTTGTAAGCTAATCTGATCATTACCTTTAGTCAAGTATTCCGGATACTCTGACTTTCACCAGCCCAAGTTCGATCCTGTCTACATTATTCACCAGTCGACGTATTTTTCTTAAATGTTAGCCGAAACAACTGCTCCAGTCATTTTAGTATAAGTGGTAACACGGCTACGGGGTCCAACAGTGTTTTGACTTTTGACCCCAGGTAATAATCCGACCAGGTGTAAGCTGCGTTGACCACCTCTTCACATTATGTCAGGTGCCTAAACAGCGTCACGCCAGGCCCCAACTAATTGCGGTGGTTTTCCTTGATTTGAAGAGAGCCCACGATTCTGTGGATAAGTTGACTACCCTGCATTTACTTCACCGGTGATAAGCAGTCCAAATCTCTCAGGCCTGGTGGAGTTCGCCAGGGAATGTCCGATGTCCATATTTTCACTCAATGCTGTTATTGATAAGATTATGAAGCGTACTTTCCAACAGACAGAAAATTTCTTGTGTTTGGATTGTGTGAATTACATTGTTTTGCTATCTGATGATCACAAGTCCGCACAAACCACTCGGAAAAGAATATCGGGATTGTTCCTCTATTTCCTTCAAACTGTGTAGTCTTACCTCAGGACTCCCATATACTTCTTTGATGCTTCAGATTGAAGAGCTTGGATTTTCGACAGCTTTACCTATCTTCGAAGCTGCATACCTTGTGACACCATTGCAAAAGATAAACTCGGTGCAAGTATCACCAAGTCACGGGTATTTGTTTTACTGAAATGTTTCAATCCTGCGTCAGAAACGAATGCAACATACTAGATGATCATCTACGAGGGGAGCATGTCTGTAGAACTTAGCCGGGGGGGGGGGGGGGGCTTAAAACATCTTCAGATAGTTGATCATCGATGTTGTATGGTAGGCCTTAAGTGGTTACAAATCAGATTCGCCACGGCAGTAGATAAGGCTTATCTAATGCCTTAAGTGGTTACAAATCAGATTCGCCACAGCAGTAGATAAGGCCTATCAGACTAATGTGGTTGGGGCGCGTATCACGTATGCCAGAGAGCCGCCCACCATAGTATGTCTCGCTTGCCACTTGCTGTTGGCCACTACTGTTGGTAAATTAGAGTGAAGGCCACCACCATCAAGTTGAGCTGTGAAATCTTCCTGCTTTCCTGGGGGAAGTTCACGTGGTTCTCTTTGAGCACGGCTGCAAGTCTTACAAGGCTTGGCACATAACAGTAACGGAGATGCTCTGGCTTAGCCAAATTACTTAGCTGGAGCGTTTGTCGTTGTGTTTTTTGTCTCGTATTAGACGGGGCTCATGCGATGGTTCCGGAGTATGTGGTCACTTCACTCTTGAACGCCTTCTCTCGTGGCGTTTTGTCATGGGTTTCCACCAACCCCCTGTCTTTCCATCTCTGAGTATGGCCCTGTTCCCTCATCGTTATATGGCAGTTGCGCACCAGTACCCAACACCGATGTATTACTGTCCGCGATGATGATGCCACATTCACCGACGATGGTTTGGATTAAATTATTTTTTTTCAAACAGTCGGTGTCTGCCGCCTTTTATCTTCAGCAAACCCTTTGCTTCGTTCCACGTATCCATAGTGCGTTTCCTCAGTTGTCACATCGTCGGTAGAAATCGGATTAATGCTTCAACCTATTTGCCTTAGATCTCATATTTCCGTTCCCATTTATCAGGAGAATCCACAATACCTCTTCTGCGGCCGTGAATAGAAGCAGTATATCCGCAGTAAGTGGACTATCAAGCTTGATTTGTTTGTAGGTTTTCGTTTAGGCTGAAAGCTGTTATGGTTCACTGCTGTAACCCATCGCCTGTCGCGACTGTGCCTGTGCTATCCGTGAAAAAAACTTGTTTTCAGCACAATGTGGCCTCTGTTCAACGGTTCCCTCTTCTCTGATGGACACCATCACGGAGAACTTATTTTATTTAGAACAGAGTTTCCATGCTCCACGAACACACACAAAACCCCATGCCAAGCACCAGTTTATTGTAATCGGTCTTCCGAGCTAAAAATGATTTGTTCGAGAGGCCCATTGAAACCCTTCCAACTTAGACTGAACACTGAAATGCAGTGAACCTCGTTGTAATCAGTCTTCCTAGCTAAATGATTTGTTCGAGAAGCCCATTGAAGCCCTTTCAACTTGGACTGAACACTGAAATGCAGTGGACCTCAGTAAATGTACATCCGATAATCGATGTATTATGCCGTTGTTAGTGTAGCGTTGGTGTAGCATTCAGTCAGTGTACCATGAATATCAGTTTCTTCCGTCCAGGCCACCCTTACAAAAGATACCGGTGAGAGGAAGAAGGCCTTTGCTGCGGAGTTATTTATTAGAAAATGCCAACTGAACAGTTACAGACTATTGGACAGGGGAGCAAAACTCTCATAGGCATCTTGTTTACAGACACTGAATATCCATCTTCTTTTGAGCGCGTCCTATCGAATTGTTCTGCATATTCATTGACTGTTACTCAATCGTAAGCAAATGCTACAGTGCGAATCCACAAATTCCGTAACAGATCTCACTTT